ATGCAATGCAGATACAATGCACATTCTCCCCCTTACTGCAAACTCTCAATGTTTTTTATACAGTAGGCAAATGTATCTATGTTTCTCCCCAACGACCCCTCAGACATTAAATGCAGATGCAAATCAAATCTCAATTTCATTAAATGCTCCCCATGTGTATATTCAGATCTTGGGAGCCACCGGAGGTAGATCGGGAGATCTAGCAGGTTAGCTAGACAATATCTACAGTAGCAGATCGTGAGTCTAGAGGAATAGCAAATATTGGAGATTATAGGAATTACAACAGCGGGAACTAGTAGAATTTGCTAGGCTAGAACGGGCTGTAATCCATATTGTCTATAGTGGAGGTAAATGGTTTGGTCCCGGAGTTTTTACCCAATTGGGTTTCTCCGTCATCATTTTGATATTCGATCTTTATTGCTTTTTATATTACAAACTGCGATATTCAAATATAAGATAATTGAATTGTATGCTTAATCATCTAGAGACTGTTAAAAAGTGACTTGATTCTTTTAATAGAATAATTTCGCACGTAAGGTCGAACTTAGTTAGTAAACTACATATTTTCAACATGAAATAACTTAAACATATCCAATACTTCATCTTTACGTTTTAGCAAATAGAGCCAAGTCATGCGGGTATAATCTTCAACAAATAGTGCAAACCATTTGAACCTGGATACCGTAGTAATTGGGGAAGGACCCCACACATCGAAGTTGATCAATGGAAAAGGAGTACTTTTCTTATTCAAGCTCAAGGGATAAGACACCCTATGATTTTTTGCCAATATGCAAGTTTCACATTGAAAATTAAAATAAGTCAACTGAGAAAATAAATTTGGAAACAAGTGTTTCATGTAGGTGAAGGATGGAAGTCCCAACCGACAGTGCCAAAGCCAAATCTTATTTTTTTTGATACCGCGAGAATGCTGCATATGATACGCTTGACCCACATTAAAATCTTCCATATAATAGAGCCCCCCTCTTTTAGTACCACGCCCAATGATTTCCTTGGTGAGAATGTCCTGGAGAGGGCAAAAGTCAGTGTACATTAGTACCATACAATTAAGATCAGAAGTTACTTAGCTCACATAGAGGAGCTTATGAGATAATGATGGAACAAGTACTGTATTATGCAATTGTAAAGTAGGCGATAATGTTACAGTTCCAGCACCAGTAACACGAGAGATAACACCATTAGCATTGGTGATATTTGTATGTCTCGATAATTAAGTGTGTGTGAAATCCTTATTGAAGAATGTCATGTGGTTAGTGGCCACAAAGTCCAGTAGCCACTTACCATGATCAGCATCATTAGATGAACTATAATAGACACAACTACGATTACTTGACTTCAAGACAAGTGAAACCTGTGGTGTCAAGGATAGATGAGGCTCGATAATGACCACAATTGCCTTGCCAGGACCTTCATCTTTATTTCCCATGTCACGACATTTTTTAGCCTGGAGATCATTCCACCAATCTGGATACCCCTTCAATTTAAAGCATTTTTCACGAGTATGCTTTTGATTGCCACAATAGGTGCATTTCAAGCCTTCTGATGATGTACGAGAGATCTGTTTCCCATTGTACAAGGTAGTAGGTTGGTGAGAATGACCCAATCTAAGTCCTTTGGTGGCGAGAACAGCACCAGGAACAACATCTATACCACCACTGATCATAACAGCTTGGTAGGTTGCTTCACGGCGGATATGAGCATAGGCTTCCTCCACGGTAAGGAATGGGCGAAGCCGCAGCACATCACTCCGAATTTTGTATAATCGTTCGTCAAGGCCATCCAAGAAAACATACACCCAGTCTTCTGGAAGGATAGCATTATATTTTTTAATATCACCTGCACACTCCATAGGATTAGGATGTCGGAAGTCAATCTCACGCTATAACCCTTGAAGGTCATTGTAGTATTTCTCAAGAAAACCTCCAGCTTGTTTAAGCTTTGTCACACGGCGTCTAAGATCATAAACCTGAGACGTGTCACTTTCATTAAGTAATTGGTAGCAATGGAGTCCCACACCAACTTGGCCGTATAAAATCGTATAAAATTCCCTATTAATGAAGATCCATGGAGTTAATTAGCCAACCTTTGACAATGGCATTGATATATCCCAACTTGTGGAATATCTCCATTTGCCAAAGGATGGATCCGTCGAAGGTGGTTGTGGAATATATCCATTGATATATCCCAACTTGTCTTTCCCGAAGATATACATCTCGATAACTTGGGACCAAAGGGTAAAGTTGGTACCATCCAATTTGATGCCAATCGGAGTAGCGGAAGGTTCGATGGTCAGCATAAGTGTTTGGATCTTAGTAAAGGCTTCAGTCATTTTTGTTGTGAGTTTAGATAAGATGGAATCAAACTGAGATGCACCAGTTTGTTGTTCTGTATTAGAGTCGACATACTTGGAGAGGTAAGGGAAGGCAAGGATTATGGTTTGATGGTTTGATAGTGCCTAGGACATGGCTCTAATAGCATGTCAGAGTATGAAAAATCTTCGTATCTTTCTTGTTTTTGATTACAATCGTGTGCTACACATTTATAGGGGGGAGAATAATTCATATTCTAGTATGTACAGAATTTATTCCTTCAATCAAGCTACTATGCAAGGACAAAATTTCATTCTATCCCAATTCATGTAATTCCTCCAATATTTCCTTGTATTATATCTTTTCTCAACTCACGCCAACACAAATTTCATAATTAGATAAGTTGGGCTAAAAATCCTTGTCTAACATGAATCGACTTCAACTTAAAAAATCTTTAACATTCTTTTTTGTAGTTTATATGAGATATTTACATAAAGGCATTTTGTTTTAATTAGAAGCTATATCATATCTAATTGAAAATAGGGGAAAATCATATGGAATGAGAAAAAGAAAGATTAAATGTAGTATAAAATAATAGGAGTAAAATGGAGAACGATATTTATATTTTAGTTAAAGGGAGTGAGAAACCAGTGGGGTCTACCCCTGCACTGTGCAATGCAATTGAAATGCAATTTTATTCATTGCATAATGTGATGTGACCCTGTCATATGTATTGTTCTTCATCACATTTGCTAATGAATAAAATTATTATGTTTATAAAGCAACACATGTCCGGATATGTTTATGTAATTTTTAAAAAAGCACGTGTATCTATGCTGAAATGAAATTCTAGTAAAGATTTAGCCCCTATTTGGTTCCAATTTTTTAAAATACATTTTTATTCAAATTTATTTTTCAATCACATATTTTATGATATTTACAAATTTTTATTAATTTTTCGACATTTCATTAACTTTTATCGAAATTTATTAAAAATATGAGTTTTGACCAAACCAAACATGGAGTTAATTTGCTCTACAAAAAGCACTTTTTTACAGATTGTATGGTTGGTTATTTTTGTATATGAAAATATAGAACGTGGAGTTTTTCCATTTTTTTTCAATTCTATTTGGTATTCCATTCCACGAGAATAAGGATAAAAAGTGCTAATTTTCTTGGAAAATGCTACTTGTACCTTTTCCCTTACCCTTTAGTTTACTTTTTTTTGTCATTTAGTGAACGTTTTGTCTATTTTACCCTTATCT